GCAGTACCTCCTACTCAATATGGCCGTCATGGCACTTCCACTCAGCTGGGATGCTTCGCTGTGGTGTCACGCGGCGTGTGGGTCCGCACCCTCTCCGCCTCCAGTCCTATGACGCTGTCCTGATACCGGACCCAGGTGGGTGAGTGAGGTAGATGCACGCGAGTCACCGTCACAGCTTCAGCCTGCAGTGGAGCAAATGGTGGACCTCGACGAAACTAACGGTTGAAATTTAGGTTGCTCTACAAACAGGCCCACAGACAAAAAAGCCTACTCCGCTGATTGCAGAAAAGAGAGACGAAATTCATAAGACTGCCTTTCTTAGGCATTGCAACAAGCGAGGTGACAAGAGGACGCCCGAAGACAGCGACCTTAAGCGTTTTGTCAACGAAGAACCTATGCGTATTCGTCACGAAATCTCCTGTCCTGTTATTGGGAGGTAAAGGTAGACCCCGTTGAAAGCCGCATAGAAAGCTGCATTTTGTCTTTCGCCCGCTACTGTGGAGCAGGATACATTGGCTGAACAACGAGGCGCCTGGAAAAGAGGATACTTTAACGCATACCGGCCCGGCTAAGTAAATGTGAAACTGTTCTCACACACCTTGTCGAAAAGAATCTTCGAGCCGATCCTAACGAAGCCTTTCAGGTTGTCTACTGGACATCAGTTAACCTTTCTAGGGACCTACGCCAACGGGCGCTAGCAACAGTCGAGACAGTGACTATACGGCTAGCGAATCCAGTGCCACGTTGTTAGAAGACGTTAATACAGGCTCTTTCTCTTCCATGTTCGACGCCGACGTCAAATGGCGATCACATGTCACCCCCCTGGTGACGGTTGTTCAATCTGTGCACGTGACAGTGATTTTTACTCCGCGTATTATACACATGACCAGTACTCACATCCTACTATATACCCCCTCCTCCGTCTAATGTCTTCGACATGCCCACCTCGTCGTCCGGGTGGTGTGAAACCGATGAATTTTAATCATATAACATTTATAAACCCCTGTTCATTACCGATGCAATTTTCCAGGCACGATGGTGAATTGCTGCAAACATATGTTAGCCAAATTGAATTTTCATGTAGTTATTTTTGCTATATAAAAGGCAACCTAAATGAAAATTCAAGAAATCTAAACTAGTTAGGAGAAAAAGTTATAAAAACGTGTGAAATTATTTAGGAAAACAGTGGAAGTAACCCTTTGATTCAAAATTCAGCAAAAGAAATATATTAACGCCAGTGATATAAAATGATCATGACATTAACCATCGATGTAAGGAAGTATGCCTCATTTCTGCTGTCACCGACATGGATTGCCATGCTTGTAATGTCTTGCATGAGAAAGCGTTTGGTCTTTACTGCCCTGGGATGGAAAGTACCTGCACTTTAAAAAGTTTAAATAAAGAGTTAACGTTTGTAAACCGTACAGTGCATCTCCAAAAAGGCCTATTTTAGTGAAAAATCAATTAAGCTGAGTTTAGATGCTTTTCATTTAATCTGAGAGCAAAATCTACGATTTTTTAATGAGCTGCATCATATTAACTCTAGGAAATTTTATTAAACTCCAGTAAAATTTAAACTCCTTGTCTATTGGAAACTGCCCGTTATGAAGGGAGTGGCTTGATTGAACAAACTTGAAACCATTTATGATAAATCGACGGAATCCCGTCTTGTTGCTAACACTGCAATAATACAAAAACAAAATTGACAGTATAGTAAAGACCAGCAGTTGCTTGCCGAAAGTTTATTGTAAGTCATTTTCATTGGCAAACTCTCTGAGTAGTCAGAAGGTGTAAGGTGCTGATATTGTTGCTTCCTCTTCCGGTGGGTCACCTTCGCTTGCGTTTTTGTTTTTACCGAAGACAAGAAACTCGTTCCGGTGAACATAAACATGTTCAAAGTATACAGAGGGTCTCACCAACCAAAAAGAAAATGGTGGAAATTTCGTAGAAGATTGAATAACATCAATAAAACACACTTGACTAGCATTCCCTCCCCCCAAAATCGCGTTCATCATCAGCATCAGTATCGTGGTCGTTGCTGTCATTGTCATAAACACTGTTAGTAGTAGCATTTTCGTCAGTATTATCCTGACTTGGCTTGCGTATAAGGCTTTCCCTCCTATGTGGGTTCGAATACCGCCGAATGCCGCGAGTTTTTCACAATTGGGTCAACTAAGTTAACCAAATCTGCCAAACCTCCTTAATAACTCATCATAATATCCATATCAATGTCGGTTTGCAATGTGTATTTTCTTTTTAAAAATCACCACATGTCATGCGAATAAGATGTTTGTCATAACGATTGCACATCCTTTATTTCATATCCACCCACCCTTTTCTCCCTCTTCTTCCTTTCCTTTCCCTCCTTTCCTTCTTTCTCTTCTTCTCCTTGTCCATCTCATTCGCTTCAACAGAATTTGTACAGTTTTAATGAGTATTTATACACATTGGTAGCAGAACTGTAGGGTATCTCGGCGTGACTGAACTATTTTCGGATTATCCTGCACGACATTTACTGTTACAACAATACTTAATCAACCTTTTTGAAGCGAAAGCATTTTTCTGAAGATCAGTTTAAATTTCATGAGATAATATATCTACATTAAGTTTTTTTAAATCAGAGATATCTTTTTAATCTGCTAAAGGGGAGTAAATACAAAATAACAGTAATACGCGCAAATCTAAATATCTTAGAATTATGCCACGCGGTCGTCAATATTATTAGATCACTTAAGTGATTCTTTCTAATCCAAGGAGAATTATTTTAAAATTTCAGTTGATACTTCATGAGATACTCTGGTATATGTAATAAAATTCCCCGCACATGACGTATAGGCGTTTTATTCCCGAAATAATACTCGATAGTTGTAGTGATGTCCATATGGTTAAAGGGCAATTAATCATTCGCTCAGAAGTCCAGTTGCTCTTCAGCAAAACTAAGATTTTTTGTCGTAAATGTAAACAGTGCTGCGCATAGAACAAGCCCCTAACAAACGTCTTCACAGTGTGGGACCAGAAATACGTGCACGTGCATGGACAGTCCACGCGGTTTCTTTGGGGGTCCTGTCATATTCTGGCTAAGAATTCATCCAACTGAACCTCTTATTTTCCCCGGCAGCTGACAAGATCTACTAAAGCCTGGAGCGATTTTGTGTGCCAAGTGAAAGCAAACGAACACACTTTAGCACCACCGATTGTGCTCTGATATTGATGTCCTACCTCCATGTGGTAATTAATCGCCTCCGAAAAGAAACTAAAGATTAGGAGTAAGGGAGGGAGGAAGATTAAACTCGCGACTTTCAATGGAAGCCTCATAGTTGCGTTGACTAGAGTGGTGACTTTACTAAAACCTGCACCTTACCGCCGCGGCTTCAACTCCCATCGAGGCCGCCGAGTTTTTTACAATTGCGTCAAATGAACGTGGAGTATGTTAGTTATTTGAAGTCAGCGGATCGTTGCACGATGGTTCCCGTATGGCAATGATAGTAAGCTCCAGTAACCGTAAGATCCAAAAAAACCTTTTGCAATTTCATCCTTTTCGAGTAACTGTGGAGGTCCCAGTCACAAATTTGGGTCTAAAAGTGAACGCATACTCGAAGAGAATTGGTCTGTTCAATCAATCTTGGGTTTGCGCAGTGAATGCAGACTACCAGTGAAGCCGCAGAGGGCTTGGTTGCTTAATAAGGTTTGCAGCTCGTCGGGAAGTCACAATTTATCAAAGGATGCGGAGGGTAATAAGGTTTAAGCATAAGGGCTGCGACCTTCCACGTCCGGTTCCTAAGGAGAGGAGAGAAGTCATAGGAAGGCCGTAGTAGTAGGAAGAATATATTCTCTACAGAATAAATTGGAGAATAGGCAGTAGCCTGGCACGGCGTTCGACCCTGAGGGCCGTGTGAGGGCGTGGGGTCGTCAGAGCGGCCAACGACGATACCTGCATTTGCCCCACTCGGTGCGGAATCCGGAGTGACGTCTAGCGGCAGCCGTTGCCTTAAGGTCCTTGTTTTATGCGGCCTTGGAGGTGATTGATTGGACAGCGCGAAGTGGGCGCAGCCGAGCCTTGGCGTGTTAGTAGGTGGCGCCAGACATTGAGCTGGAAGTGGAGAGGGTGCCAGCAGTCAGCGTGACCGCAGCCTTAGCCCACAGTGGCGCTAACGCCCACTACATGTTCACTAAGAGAAGCCCATTTCATGTTTTAGTAGCGGAAATTGTATATAACGAACTGAAAAACACCTGGCTTACAACGATATGGAGATATGTCTTATATATATTTTTTTAAATTACGCGAAATATTCGCAGTCCTTATCATATAAGGCTTTTTATTGAATCGGGCGCTCTGTTCAAATTTTAAAATAAATCAGGACTGAATGAGGCACCAGGTAA